AGAAGGATTGGGATTGGGGGGGAGGGGGGAGGCTGGGAAGGGATGTGAAGGGTAAACAAAGGAGGAGGATGCAATGTTTGGTAAGAAATGTACGCATTATCCTGCCCATGTAATTGTAACCCCTCTGTACAGTATGTTCACAAATAAAATCAAATTAAATTAAAAAAAAATCACCACGGATGGCAGAATTCAACAAGAAACCTGCTTATGAAAACTACATTGCCACAAGAGATGCTACGATTCTAAACAGATAATGTTCAAAAGTCCATTTGTTGGGCAGTTGTCTGAAACTCTGAATGAACTTCTTAGGTTTCAGTCAGCATACAAAATCAACCCAAAATATACACAAAGAACTATTACTAGTCTAAGCATAGTTCCATTTGTTAGATTTTGAGATACCAAACTTTGTAGAGGACTTTCACTTTAAACTTAGAAGCCCTACTTACAAACACTGTCTCCCAAATCACAAACTGGGTAGATTTTATGCAACAGGAACAGATCGGGTGCTTTTACTTTCTATCTCTGCAGTTCATTCACTAGATCTACAAAGGAGTAGGAAAGAAAGGAAAAGCAGATATCAGACTTAGCACGAGTCAGATTACCTAGATATCTAGTACTTCTAGGTCAGGGGTCAGCAAACTATAAGCCTGTACATCAAATTCTGCTGCCTATTTTTGTAATTTTTATTTTGAAAATTAACTTTTATCTCATGGCAGAGTGGAATTAGTTGTAGCAGAAAGCAAAGACAGCTTGCAAAGCCTAATGTATTTACTACCTGGCTCTGTGGAAAGGAAAGTGTATTGACTTCTGATCTGGTCATTCCCCAGAGCCTATATCCAGAATACAATTTTTGGGAAAGAGAATAAAGAATAATCCTTCTAGAACTTCATGGGAGCATCACCCAGTACAAAAGGAATGTATGACATATGGCTCTATCTTGGATCTTATTCTCCCCCAAATCAACATTTAGGTCCTTCTGTTGCAAAAGGACCTGTCCCTTACTACAAATCTTGTTTCTCACTGACATGGAAGACTGACATCCATTACACATAGATCCACATTCCAGAAGAGACACTTCAAAATACACAAGGCATGCAGCTATCAAGAGTTTTTCATTAGGACAGTCACAGGAACACTCAGTTGTGATTACCAGATCAACTTACAAAAGTTCCCTGGAGAAGAAAAGTGCCTGTGCTTGCTAACAAAGCTGCCTGACTGTGGTGCCCACACATGGTCTTGAGCCCAAGAACTTATTGAGGAGCAATAACTATTTAACTTAAGTCTACTTTATGTACTATAGTCACGCTTACCTTTTTCATATATTCAGTAACTGGGTTCTGCTGCAAGAATTCAGTACTCTCTCTGGTATAAAATCTCTCTGTGTCAGCCAAAAATTGAGATTCAAAGGATTCTTTATACACTGTTAACGTAGGGCCCTTTGCAAATGCATCATCTTCATTCAGCCCCAATTCCACTAGAAATAAATATGAGCTATATTTCAATTACCCTATTTTTTGTTATATTTCACAGAAAATACTTAGGTGTAGCATTCAGTTAGTTATGTGTAAAGGTCAGTGTGAAATGGAGGGTACAAGGTCACTCTTAGTTGCTAGTATTAAAGTACACTTGTTTCAGTAAAAGTGAAAAATTCAAGATATATAAAACACAAATAATTCTGACTTATGGCCAGATATCTTCAAAATTATCAGGAAGTTCAGAGAATTTAAACATTTCCAAAACTAGTTAAAATTTTCAATTTTAAGCTTTCAAAGAAATACAATCTCAATTTTTCAAGCTGATATAGATTTCTGGTTAACAATAGCTAAATAACTCTATCATATTTTATATGACTAGAAAAGAAAAGAATTCAAATTTCTTTTTCATTAAAAATGTCCTTAAGGCACAATGTTAAAACAACTTTTATGATGGACAAAATCTGATTAAAATCACTGACCTAAAGAAAATGATAGGTATTTGTAAATGCTAGCAAATTCTAGTAAAATGTTTTAACATAAATATGTTAGGACATTGTTACAATTTCCATGTGATATGAAAGCTGAATAAATTAAAGGGAAATTATTTACCGTAAGATTGTACAACTCCACTAATCAGTCTTGTATTGATGGTTTCACCATTTCTTTCTTTTTCAATCAGTTTTAAGACAGCATTTGTTACCTTTAGAAAAAACACAGGAAAATGTAAGATATAGATTGCAGAGCACAGTGACTATACAGCCCTTAAACATTCCAAAGACTGAGGAAGATGAAAGCTATGTGATGAAAGTCGGAAGAGATTCTAAAAGCAAAACACACTCACACACACAGGTATGCACACACAGAGGAATGCATGCATGGACAAGTGCCTATGCGAATGTACCCATGCACACACATGAATGCACATATGCACACAAGTAGGTACCTGTTTATTCAATGGCCTGAACAGACAATCTCTCCAGGTCACCAATGCAAGCTGGATGAAAAGAGAAAAGTATTAAAAAATCTATGTTTTCATCAAGACTAATAGAAAATAACTTAAATCTTAATTTTTTTCTCCCATGATCCTGGGGCTTGAACTCTGGGCCTGGGCGCTGTCCCAAGGTGAGTGCTCTACCATTTGAGCCACAAGGCCACTTCTGACTTTGAACCATGATCCTTGGCTCTCAGTCTCCTGAGTAGCTAGGATTACTGGCATGAGCTACTGGCACCTGGCTTAAATCCTAAATTTTATAAAATTTGTAGACTATAACTTAGTAAAAATGTATCATCAGAATGAAATCAGAGTGTTGGTCTTGAGGTTGACTACTTCAAGCAGTATAGAAATGCAGATGTTTATCAACTCACCCTTTAACAGTAATGATACCCAAAAACCCTCTGATTTAAGAACTTTCCTGTCAGCTTAAAGGATAATAGTAGCTTCATGTATAAATTTGTTCCCTGGACCAAACAAATTTAATTTTTGAGGTAATACACTTGATAACAACTAATTTCATTTATTACCATAGCTTCTTAAAACTCAGTAAGAGAAATCACAGATTATTAAAAAATTTGAAGTCCTGTGAAGTTTTTATATACTTGTGTAAGCCAAGTAAATATAAACCATGCTTTAAATGTGTACAGTATTGTACATAATTATTTAGACTTCCCACTGTACTTGTGTTTGTGTCTGAGACACATGTATAAATTGAATATTACCTATTATCATGTTATATTTTTCCATTTCCCTAAACTTCCCACAGGAGTAATGCCAAAACTAATTATTATAAACATGCTCTCTAAAAGAAAGTGTTAGATTCCATACATGACTTCCCCATTGATTAATTAGGTAATGTGTTTGTTTGTGATAGGCAGGGATTAGCTAAGTAGCAAGTCATGATTTTCTGCCTCAGTCTGTGGAGCACTGGAATTACAAAAGGGTATGGTCATGCTTAACATAACTTTAAAACTGTTGGGAAAAGAACTTGTCCATTCAAACAATATTCAAGTTTTTAAGTTTAATAGAAAATACCTAGGGAGCTGGGAATGTGGCTCAGTGGTAGAGTGCTTGCCTAGCAAGCATGAAGCCCTGCATTCAATTCCTCAGTAACACAAAACCAGAAAAAGCTGGAAGTGGTGCTGTGGCTCAAGTGGTAGAACGCTAGCTCTGAGCAAAAGAAGCTCAAGGACAGTTCCCAGGCACTGAGTTCAAGCCCCAGGACTGGCAAAACCCAACAACAAGAAAAGCCTGCTGAGAAAAATCATTTAAGCCTAATTGTTACCATTCTTATGGTCCCTAAATTTAACTAGAGATAAAACTGGATTTATAAGGATTATACCCTTATGAAAAGATGATATGTAAATTTAATACCTATAAAGAACTTTCAAAGTGATATCTTCACCAAATAAACAGCATGGATGCAGAATTTCAACATAAAACCATGTGTAGTTCAAGGCCAACATCAGAACAAAAAATAAGATTTTATTGAATTTTGTGCTATGATGTTTGGAAGGTGCTGTAGTAGCACCTTCCACAAGACTGTTCCACAGGACAATGCCACCTGGGGTAGGTGGTGCTCCGTCCCCTCTTTCTCTATACGGAGTCTTAGCGGCTACCCCTGGACTCTTCAGCCCCCCTCAGCTGGGAGTGAGACAACAAGGAAAATGTTATCCTGTCACTGACTTCTAACAAAGAACTAGTATACTTAAAAGAAATTTAATTTACGTCCTCTACTTAATGAGAGGAAACCAGCAACTTTCTATAGCTAGAAAGCTACAACATCGTTGTGGGGGAGGGGAGGAAGGATCTCCCTAATTTGTTGTGAAATGATTTTATGACAAAATTGCCCATTTTCTGGAGACTCTGGCACTGTCCCAAGTGCCATCCACACTGTGCGGCTCAGCAGGCTCCCTGTGGAGCACTTTCCAGGTGGAGAAGCTGACTGGCCTTGGCTAGAACTTAGGTGGTGTTTCTGAACAGTAGCCACAGATGCAGAGAGGATGCAGAGAGTATTTAAATCTGAATTGGTTGGGATGGGGGGGGTGTGGGGGGAAGATGGGAGATGGGAAGGGATGGGGAGGGGAAACAAAGGAGGAGGCAATAATGCTTGATAAGAAATGTACTCATTATCTTGCCCATGTAATTGTAACCCCTCTCTCTATACAGTATTTTCACAATAAGAAAAGAAAAGGAAAGAAAAGAAAAAGACAGACAAACAATTTGGGAGTCTGCGGTGCTGCTGGGTTCGCACAGGACTTTGGATCAAAGTGGGCTTCTCAATGGCGACCAACCGGACCATGCCAACTCAGCCTCTAGAAGGCATCTTCGCCAAGGTGAAGCACACCTGCTATTCCACCACACACACTTCCAACATGCTGTACACGATAAATACACATTATTTTTGTCAACTATAAAAACACATTTTTAAAAAAGGGAAACGTAAAAATTTCAAAAAAACCTAAAGCTTTGTTGAAAGTCTAACTCGGTAACAAATTGCCACTAGGAAGCAACAGTTGTGGTACAGGATATAAATATAAACATAAACAATATGTCAGGGCAGGCCTGGTGCTCAGGCTCACAATCCTAGCTACTTGAGAAACGGAGATCAGGAAGACTGAAGTTCAAGGCCAGCAGGTAAAAAAAGTTAAGAGACCCTTGGGTGGGAAGGTGGCTCAGTGGTAGAGCGCTTGCCTTGCATGCCTGAGGCCCTGGGTTCGATTCCTCAGCACCACATAAGCAAAAAGAAAAAAGCCAGAAGTGGCGCTGTGGCTCCAGTGGTAGAGCGCTCGCCTTGAGCTGAAGCGCTGAGGGACAGCGCCCAGGCCCGGAGGTCAGGCCCCACGACCGGACCCCCCCCCACCTCAGTGAATAAAATGCTAGGCCTGTCACCCAGCCCCAGGGGAAGCATAAATAGTAAGATAGTGGTCCAGGCTGGCTGGGTCAAGAAGTGAAGACCCTATTCAAAAAATATCCAAAGCAAAAAGGGCTAGAGTGTGGCTCAAGAGACAGAGAAAGTAACTGCCTGGTAAGCAGAAGGCCCTGAATTCAAACTCCACTGGGGGGAGAAGGGGGCGTGGGGAGGAAAGGAATGTGGAGCAGGTAAGTTAAGCCAGGTGAAGGTGACTTATGCCTGTAATCTAGCTACTCAGGAAGCTGAGATCTGAGTATCCTGGTGCAAAGCCAGCCCAAGCAGGAAAGTTAGGAGACTCCAATTAACTACCATAAAACTGTATGGCAACACTGTGGTAACAGCAGTAATCTTGGATAAGGAAGAGGTTTCATTATGTAAATTTTGGCATTTTAAGGGCAGCAGCCCCCAAACACTACCTGTTTCTCTGACAGCACAATTGTAAGTGGACAGACAGCTTGCTTTCAACAAGTTCTCTCTTACCAGCTCTACCACAATGGTTCTTAGATTTGTATGTTCCTGAGAATCGTTTAGGAAACTTTTAAAAACAGATTTTTGGAGCCAGGTGTCAGTGGCTCATGTCTGTAATCCTAGTTACTGAGTAGAATAAGACCAGAAGTATTGAGGTTTTTAAGCCAGTCTGGGTAGAAATGTCTGAGGACATTTCCAAAATAACCAGCAAAAAGTTGGGCTGGAGGTGTGGCTCAAGTGATAGAGCACCAGCTGAATAAACAAGCCTGATGCACTGAGTTCAACTCCCAGTACTAAAGCAAACACGCAAACAAAACAGAGTTCTTCTGCCTCTCTATAGCGTATCTAATTAAGTCTAGGATGAAGTCTGAGAATTTGTACCAGGTCATATTGATGCTGTAAGTTTTGAAAGCCTCAGTGAAGTCTCAGGTAACTGACTTGCCAGTCACGGTCAGGATTCAGGATTCCAGTGTTGAAACTCAGGCAGTTCCAGGCCAACCATGAGTACTGTATATTATATACTGTATATATATATATATATATATATATAAAATCAAGTTACAGATAACACTTTTAAAAAATAAACACAGCTGGGCCCACCAGGGGCTTATGCCTGCAATCCTAGCTACTCAGGGAGCTGAGATCTGAGGATAATGGATGGAAGGCAGCTGAGGCAAGAAAGTCCTTGAGATTTTTACCTCTAATTAACCACCAAAAAGCCAAAGTGGATCTGTGGTTCAAGTGGTAGAGGGCTAGCCTTAAGTAAAAAAGCTCAGAGACAGTGCCTAGGCCCTGAGTTTAAACCCCACACATAAAAATAAGAAAGAAAAAAAAAAAGGCACATGAAAGTACAGGAGTATTGTAGAATTCCAGTTTTCCACCCTTCAACTTTCCTAGCCTGAATATTTAATAACCATTTATAGATAATTACTATGAAAACAGTGGAATGGCTTAGATTCCTTTACTGAAAGATAACCATTTATAGATAATTACTATGAGAACAGTGAAACAATGGCTTAGATCCCTTTACTGAAAGATAATATGTCACTAAGAAAGTCACATCTGAACTATTAAAAAAGAAAGCTTACCGAATAGATTTCATATATTCCTTTCCGTCCTTCATCACATTCACGGCGGACCCAATGTCTATTGAGGTAGGCACAGATTCCATTTAGTACTTTGCTGGAGAATCGGTAGTCTTCCCACTGCTGGGTATAGAATTTCAGTACGCTCTCATCCATCAAATCCTCTCCATCCTAAAAATAAGTCCCAAAACTGTAATGACTTTGTCATGTAATACATTAAAGATAAAAGTTAATGACATACAATAATGTCTTTAGGTGTAACAGATGTCACTAACATATCCCAATTTTAAATTTTTTTTTTTTTTGCTGACTGGGGCTTGAACTCATGGTCTGGGTCCTATCCCTGCTTTTGTGTTCAAAACTAGCATGCTACCACTTGACCCACAGCACCATTTGTACTTTTCTTTTTGAGTAGTTTACTGGAGATAACAATATTATAAGAACTTTTCTGCCTGGGCTGGCTTCGAATGGCAATTAACAGATCTCAGCCTCCTGAGCAGCTAGGATTACAGGTGTAAGCTACTGGTGCCCAGCTAAATTTACTAAAAAGTCATAAAAAGATAAATCTATGTATGTTTCATTTTATAAAAACAAAATGAATACAATGGTACAATATCTCCTTTACATGACAAAAACTATACTTATCAAGATCATTAAACTTATTGAGATTTCTACAATTAAACCTCAAATTTCTAAATGGAGAAAATGAACTTGAAATTTTTCCTAGGTACTAATGGCATCTACAAAGTATGTCCTGATTTTAAAAAGAGCCAAAGGTAGATGGGCACTGGTAGCTCACAGCTGTATTCCTAGCTGCTCAGGAGGCTGAGATCTGAGGATTACAGTTCAAAGCCAGCTTGGGTAGTAACTCTACAAGACTCTTATGTCCACTTCACCACCAGAAAACTGGAAGTGGAGCTATGGCTCAAAGTAGTAAAGCATTAGCCTTAAGTGAAAAAGCTTAAGGACAGTACCCAGGCCCTGAGCTCAAGCCCCACAACCAACAAAGAAAGAAAAAGATAAAGAGCCACAGGTCTGCAGAATTGAAGCTCTACAAATTAGGACCTCAAGTGACTCATTCATCCGTGTAAAAATATGATCATATCCAACACACCAAATTTTTGTTCATTTGAATATCATGAAATGACCTTTAAGATGTAAGCCAAACTGCTCTAGATGATGGTATAGCCTTTTTAAAAAATGCAAACACATCATTGATGGCCTGGCTATCTCATGTTTTAATTTTTATTTGTTCTTTGTGCCAGTCCTAGTGCTTGAACTCATTCACTGAGATTCTTTTGCCTACAGCTAGTGCTCAACCACTTGAGCCACATCTCCATTTTCAGCTTTTTTGGTGGTTAATTGGAGGTTAAGAGTCTCACAGACTTTCCTGCCCTGGCTGGCTTTGAACCACTATCCTCAGATCTCAACCTCCTGAGTAACTTGGATTATAGGTGTGAGCTACCGGCACCCAGCTCGGACAATCTCATTTTTATACAGCACAATACACTGTTCCTTCACTTTGGTACCAAACAGTAAATATGATGTGTTATTTATAAAGAGTTGTAAATACCAAGGACATCATGAACACAATGGCGGCCTCAAACACTGAGGAGTATGAAAGTCATACTATACTACTCACAATCTGTGCCAATCAACTATGGTCTGTTAGGATGATGTGTTCTTAATTAGCTTATAAAATAATTAAGGAAAGCAATCTGCAGCATGATGACTTTTTTGCATATAATTTCTGCCATGCTGGGTGCTGGTGGCTTACACCTATAATCCTAGCTACTCAGGAGGCTGAGATCTGAGGATCACAGTTCGAAGCCAGTCTGGGCAGGAAAATCTGTGAGACATTTTTCTCCAATGAACTACTCAGCAAAAGCTGGAAGTGGTGCTGTGGCTCAAGTGGTAGAACCTTTAGCAAAAAGATCAGGGACAGTGCCTAGCCCTATAGGTCAAGCCCCAGGACTAGCTAAAATAAAATATATAATCCTGGCCATATTCAAGGAAGTCTCTGAGAACTCCAGAGAAGTCTTTGCTCACTGACTAACAGATGCACAGAATAGATGAAGGAGTTGCCTGCCTACAGTAGCTGATGTCAAGTATCACACTGTCTTTGTTACAGAGTATGGACACTGAAGAAAAGAGCAAAGGTGAAAGGGAAAAGACCCCTCCTGCTGTCCAAGCAAAGGCTTACAGCAGAAGAGCTCCCTACTCAAAGGACATGAATATTTGTAGAGACATCCAGACTAGTTTATGGTAGCAGTTCGAAATATATTTTGTGACTGTAAAGCAGCTATATTACATATGACAACATGATGGCTAAAATAATCTTGGAATTTTTTACACCTTTCTTTCTTGCTTCCTTTTTTTTTTTTCTTTGGAGAAGGCAGTGCTGGGGATGGATGGAACCCAGGGCCTTGAACATGCTAGGTAATGCTCTATAATAGAGTTATACTCTTATTTATGGATCTTGAAGAAGAACAAATACCACATTAGACTCAAAGTGAGTAATCTGAGTATATAATCATATGCTGCAAATAAAAATACTCAATCTTAACATCAGTCATAAATTAGCTAAGAAGAAAAAGATAATACTATGATATAAAGTTATCAAGTGTTTAATTTCACTGAGTAAAAGAACAGAATATAGGGGCTGGGAAGGTGGCTCAGTGGTAGAGCGCTTGCCTTGCATGCATGAGGCCCTAGGTTCGATTCCTCAGCACCACATAAGCAAAAAGAAAAAAGCCGAAGTGACGCTGTGGCTCAAGTGGTAGAGTGCTTGAAGAGCTGAGGGATAGCGCCCAGGCCCAGAGTTCAGGCCCCACTACCGGACCCCTCCACCCCCCAAAAAAAGAACAGAATATAGTATATGGTTTTTTTCATAATAGGTAAAACACTATGCAATATTCAACCATCTCCAAGCACATGTTCAAGTGAAACAGTGATCAAGCCAAGTGAAAGATTTAGCTGTTAAGGTATAAGAATGGCTACTTTTTAAACATTCCATCCTATGCTAAATAGAGATACAAATCATCTTACCTTAAGAAGATTTGTCAAGTAATTCTTCAAAAATTCCTTGAGTCGTTTGTACAGCTCCAACCCAACAAACTGAGCTCCTCCAGGTGTCTGCCCCTTTTTCGACTTGGAAGGAGGGACTCCAGCCCCCCGTGCTTGATTGGACTGGTGTACACTAGTACAGTAGTTATAAACATGACTTGGAGAAGTTAAAGAAATTAATATGCAACACAATGGCAACAGTGATCAATATGAGCATGTTTCTATGTCAATACACTCCCAATATAGACAGAATTTGTCAAAAACCAGAATGGAAAAAAGATCCTACTCATACTATCAATAAAGCTGAAAGGTAAGGTGGGTGTTGGTGGCTCACACCTGTAATCCTACTCAGAAGCTGAAATCTGAGGATAGGGGTTCAAAGTCAGCTTGGGCAACAAAGTCAGTGAGACTCTTATCCCCAATTAACTACCGGAAGTGGCACTGTGGTTCAAGTGGTAGAGCACTCACCTTGAACTGAAGAGACTCAGGGACAGCACTCAGGCCCAGAGTTCAAGCCTCACTACCCCTCCCCGTCCCACACCACAAACTAAGAATAATTAAAAATAAATAAAGCTGAAAGCTAGCAGCTCCATTTACAAGTATGTCTACAAGCCTGGAAAAGAATGTATCAGGAAGAAGAACAGCAAGAAAACCTGGACTTTGACTGGGCATCTGGAAACTTCAAGAAAGTTTGAGAATGAAAAATAAAAAAGCAATTGTAATATTTACTTCACAAAAAGGTGCCAGGTGCTAGTAGCTTACACTGGTTAACCTAGCTACTCAGAAGGCTGATATCTGAGGCTCGTAGTTCAAAGCCAGCCAAGGTAGTAAAGTCCATGAGACTCTTACTTCCAATTAACCAACAGAAAACTGGACATGGAGCTGTGGCTCAAAGTAGTAGAGCACTAGCCTTGAGCACAAGAGCTCAGGGATAGCACTCAAGCCCCACCACCACCACCACCAACAAAAAACTAATAAACAATAGATAACAATAGTCATAAACTAGTTTTTCAGAATGTATACTAAAACTAAATTTTTTTAGTTTTAAATGGTTTTCCATTTTGAAGATGAAGAGCATGCCAGCTGGACAGGTCCTGTCTACAGACTACAATAGTCACAGATGTTTAAAACAGATTTGATCAATGTTACTAAGAAAGGTGTGTAAATAACAATGAAACAGCAAAGGGTAGAGCCAGCTGCTCCTTTTCCAGGGCCCACGTTTTGCAGTGCTTAGAATGCAACCCAGGGCCTTTTACATGCTAACATGTCTACTCTATATCCTGTTATAACCTTTGTTTTTTTTTAAAATATAATCTTATTGTTATTATTGTCATACAGAGGGATTACCATTTCATAAGTACATTTCTTTTTTGAACAAACCTTCCTTCTCTTTTCCCCATTTCCCTCTCCCATCTCGACCCACAAGTTACATAAGTCATTGTCCACATAGTGTATACTGAATAGCATAATTGCATTTAATTACCCTTCCTCCCTTGCTTTCTATGCCCATAAGCTTTAAATATCAACTCATCTGCATGTATTATTATTATTATTTGGAGAAATGTAGTAGAAAGAAATGATACTCAAAAAGCAATAAACATGTATCAACAAAAACATTATTCTCTGTACTTAAGAATGTACTATATAAAGGCACTTCAAATCAATAGGTGGTATGTTAATAAGTGAGATTAAAAAAATATTAAATATAATTATGAGTGATTAAAGATAAAGATACAACTGAAACCATAAATCAGGAAGGAGTACTTACTTGTTCTTAGTTTAGAGAAACCCTTTTAAGGAAAAAAATCACAGAAATACATAATTTGAAATTCTGACTACATTAAAAACTATCTTACTATCATTAATAAATTAAGGCAGTTTGGGCTGGGAAGTACTGTAGTTGCTGATAAAAGTATTCACATATCAGACTAATTAAGGTTAATTTAAAACAATATGAAAAAAATCAATTTCTATGGAAACATGACCAAAGCATATCAGCAGATAATCCAAAACATAAAGATAAATTAGTGGTCAACCTAACAAAACATCCAACTTCCACAGCTGTCCCATCTTATTCCATGTAGCTACTTCTCCCTCAACTTTCTTTTCTTTTCTTTTTTGTGTGTGTGTGTGTGTGTTGTTCATGGGGCTTGAACTCAGGATCTGGGAACTGTTCAGTTATAGCTCCATTTCTAGCTTTTTGGTAGTTAAGTGGAGATAAGTCTTATGGACTTCCCTGTCAGGGATGTCTGAAACACAACCCTTCAGGTTCCAGCCTCCTGAGTATCTAGGATGCCAGGCACAAGCCACCAACACTTAGTTCTCCCTAAACTTTTTAGGGAAAATTACAGGTTTAATGTATGGCTTCCTAACTCTCCTCCTCCTTTCTCTTACCCTATGGGCAAATATCCCCAATTCCCAGGAATGTGTTTATATTTTACCTGACACATATGTGAAATGTACTGTTTTGCACATTTTATATGTTCAGATTAACAAGTTTCCTGTTATTGTTCTGGTGACTAGAGAACTGCAGATGTACGTAATATGCTGTGTACCAGTATTTACAATAATGTCTCTATTCTCTTGATGATGGATGTTGCTAGACATCATTTTAGCAGGTACTAATTTTTTTTCAGAAAGTTGCACACATTATTAACATGTCCGCTTGCAACACAGGTACGAGTTACCAGCATATCTTTATGACACTTGTCAGATTTATTCTGCAAAGAGGCGACACCGCTGGTAACAGTGTACCAATGTTTTCGTTGCATTTGACCTCATCCACATATGTTCTGTGATTCATCATGCTTTCAATACAATTTCAATTGTTTGGATCACTGTCTGCTCATTTCCTGCACAATGAACAAAACCCTGCTCAGAAATTAGTGACAGGAGCACCAAACATCATCACTTCGAAAAAGTAATTTTAAAAAGTGAACTGGTACGCACATAATGAATCTCATAAACATAGTGGATGAAAAAAATCAGACACATTATTATTCTCTTTACATGATGTTCCACAATAGTAAAACTATTGTGGGAAAGTGATTTCTTCTTAGTTAAGACTGACCAATAATTTGGTAGCACCCCTCCTATATTTCAAGACAATATCAATTTAAATTTGGAATGATGTTCCTGATGCCTTGGGATTTTTACCATTAGGAGGTAGTTGTATTTATCCCTAACAACCCTGCTTTAGCATCCTATTGTATTTCATATTGATGTAGTTTATACCTATCTTTTGGTTAGAATTTTCCCCAAATATCTTTGGTCTCTCTTTTTAATCATAATTCTATGTTTTGGTATGTATACTGAAAACTACTAAAACATAATTACCACTTAAAAAATTGAATGTGATAGTCTCTAATGGGATAGTTTGATTTTATAACAAGGCTGTTTTGTAATGTTATATAAATTAGCCTCCATCATCCTTTGCATTCAATATTTTAATTCTTTTTCTATGCTTCTTGTTTCTCCCCCTTTTTCCTTCAACTGCAATGGACTTCATTATAATTCTTGAATGTTTTGGCCAGGGAGAGCCAACCTGAAAGGCTGAGTGGTGATGGCGGTCTCCTAGAGGTCTGCCAGGGTCATGTCACACGGGACGTGGGACATGCTTTTTGAGCGGGTGGATCCTTGTCAGAGCCGGGCACAGTTCAGTCTCTGGGGCAGGCCCTACCACTTCCCTGTCATACTAGAAGTGCCATGTTTTTTGTGCTTGGTTGGGACAAGCTGATGTGACAGGGTCCCTGCTGGAGCTGTCTTGCACTGAGGGCACCTTCTGTGAACCAGGCAACAGGAGGAAGAATCAGAAGAGAAACAAGATTACTGCCACAGTAACTTATGTGGGCTCTTGTTCCAAAATGGATGCACAATTTCTCAGTCGCTTTTTTTGTGTGTGGGGGAAGAGGCATGCTGCAGACTAAGCAAAATTAAAAATAAATAAATCAGTGACCCTTAGTATATATGTGTATGTATGTGTTTTCCCCCTTTTTGCTGGCACTGGGGTTTGAACGTAGGGCTTATGCTTACTAACATAGCACTCTACCATTTGAGCCACATCTCCAGTCCTGCTTTTTTGCTGGTTGGAGTTGGGAGTCTAGTAAACTTTTTTGACCAAGTTGGCCTTGAATCACATTCCTCTACATCTCAGTGTCCTGAGTGGCTACAACTATGAGCCACTGGAGCATGATTATTTACTAGTTATGTTCTTTACAGCCTTATTTTAAAAGTGTGGATGAATGTATACAGATGAAAATGGTAGTTTGCCTAGATGAGCAAAGTTGAAGAGTAAAAGATCTAAGATTCAAATATGTTTGTTGGGTATATGCTATTCCAAATCATCATCATCTGTTATTCCTTCTACTTGATCTGCTTTTTTATGAGGTCTGATTTTTCTACAAAGGAAATAGGTTGGTATCAGGCAGGCAGAAGTAGGAAATCTGTCACCTAGAAAACTACACCCAGAGTGCCTACAGCTGAAAAGGCCAAGGGAACCGAGAGCTGATAACAGCAGCCGTCGTGATGTGACTGAACTTGGCAGGTGTGCAGCAACAGCTGGTATCAGCAAGTCCTGACATGTTGTCTGCACAGTGTGTGCTGCAGGCAGGCAAGAGCTCAGCCCACTGACTGGATAAAAAGCGCCCTTACCTCTAAGTCATCACAAACCACAGTACAGAAGAACAGAGGACTGTGTATAGAATATACTGTGCTACAACTTACTATGAGATGTGAAGGCAAGGCTAGGAAAAATGAATGAGACCATTATAGCATTGGTGGGGAAAAGGGGTCTTTAGAAAAATAGACTGAAGAAACGACTTTCATTCATAGCACTATGTAGAGACAAAACAGAAAGTTCAAAGTTCATGACAATGTATTCAGGAAAAAGAAAAACAGAAGACATAAACCCAGGCAGGGATTGGGGAGCCTCAGGTGATTAAGTTTCATTGCCTGTGCCTACTCTGTTGAAGAGAAATTCACGGCAGGGCATGTCTGCTACCACAGGTTCACATTAAAAGAAAGACTCCTTAGTGAGACTTTGACCAAGTAGTTATAAAGACTGTCTATATGGAGGTGCAATAGCAAATCTGGGTAAAGCTTTCATTTCTCTACCTCATTTATCTTTTTGTGTAGTTATAATCTTCACTGCCCTCTTAT